GGGGGGGGGGGGGGAAATCAACAATTTATTCCCCTCTGTTTCTGGAAAGTCTGTCAGAGGCTGTGATGTGAGCCAACTATTAGCAGAGGCCAGTGGGTCTCCACCAGCATCATCTCCTCAGCTATAAAGGAGGGCTGAGGAGGAAGGAATAAGTCCATCTGCTCCTTGCACCCTGAGGTGTGTGCTACTTTAGACTTTGCTCTCTAGGACTACACCGACCTGCAAAGTTCCCCCCTTCTTGATCTCCCTGCCTCATTTTAATGCAAGGTTGATTGCACTGTTCCCAACAATATAATAAGTTTTGCACCTTAAATGAAACCCACACACTGGACATTTCACCTTTGTTACCAATAATGCCACACGTTTTGACAGTATCATTTATTGTTCTCCCGAATCGTGCTTTGTCTTCTTTACTACAACAAAAGAAAATAGCTACATAGCTACAGATTAGTTCTAGGTGCTGAGACACTATAGCTAACCAATGCAGGCAAGACACTTTGTTCAGGCTAGACCAGGCAGGCTCGGTGATTGGATGGACAGCTGCCACTAGGGCTTCACGATGCCCCTGCAGCTGATTGCTCCAAGGAGCCCATGTACTTCAAGGTCCCACACCATTGTATGAGGACTATTCTACGCTCACAAAGCAATACAGGACGCACGAGAGAAGACGAAGAGCTCAATCACTAGCTAGCATTTTACGACACACTGGGAAGGGGTGGTAAGAGTTAAAGATGTGGGATGGATGGGAGGAGTGAATGTGCCTGCGGAGGGTGGGGTGAGAAAGCCATGGGCACAGCGCTCGTCGCCAGCTGTCTACAGGCCTCAAGTTATAAATCTAAGAGGGACGGTTCAGCTGGTCGGATTATGGTGGGTCGAGTAGGTGAGGCAGGGCCCTTCCTGCTGTGAAAAAGCAGAAAACAAAAACAAAAAGAGAACACACACTGTGGTTAGCATAGCAGTCACGGTCACAATCATGCATGCTTCTCCACTTCATCTGAACCAGGCAGAGGGACTGAATGAGGACCTTATTTTATGACAGAGTTATCCATAACAACAATGGGAATCCATGGAGAAGGCTTGCCATTTTGAAAGTGGATACACATTGAATTCCCTGGTCACCATTAACAACAGGGAGGAAGGAATTCATTGTGCAGCTATTACCACCTTCTGCCTAGAAATCCTCAAAGCACAAGAACTTATTGCCAGTAACTCTACTGGCACAGAAATGGGAGTCGAGAAGCATGGACACAAAAGAAGCTACCATATCAAGCAAGTGGCATGGATGGTGCCCCCTAGGAAACGCTGTCATGGAGGTTACAGACTGCTTTGGAGAGCATCCTTCCTCTGCACCAAGGCAAGAGGTGATCTATGAATTTAATATCTCAACAGTTGGGAGCATTTGAGAGATTAGTCTGCAAAAACAAACTTGATCCTTTTGTTTCTATAGTCATGTAGCCTAGCAAATGTGACTTCCACTGACTTAAGGAGGCAAATTTGGATTTGTGATAGCTGTTGCAATGTTTGAGACTTGACTTCATTAGCTTCTACACTTTGACTATTATAATAAGTTGAATGAGCAGCAATTTGATCTTAATGGAAAGGAACGTACTTTGGTGCTACAGAATCTACTTCCTAAAAGGGCATAGGCTCCTTCTCTCATCTAGCTAAATGAAAAGGAAATTAAAGGGTCAACATCAGCTTCAAAATATAGGCTTTTTAGAAGGAAAACACACTGCATATCTTCTCAACATAGAAACACATTCCTTTTCTTTTAAGTCAATGAAAAACACCTGTGTAGATTTCCTTTTAAACATCATCCCCTGCAGCACATGCAACCAAAACACATCAACATCCTCTTAGTGCAGGAAGACTGGAAAATTAAACTGGTCAGCACCAGGCCAGCCCAAGCAAATAAGAAGTCCCCGTTGGTACAGAGTTTGCAACACAGAAGAAATCTTAAAGAATTCATGACCTAACAGTGTCATATTAACATGAAACCAAGGTCCTCTTGTTACTGAGGTTGTTTGCATGGCTACAGTCTTGGAGTTGACAAGCTGTAGCGTTGTAAACCTTATTTTGCACTGGCATATACCACGGGTCAGCAATTATTTGGTCCTGCGGGCCATATAGGGAATTCTGCTGAGCTGCCATGGGCCAGGTCAGCAGCCCCCTCCACAACAACTCACCAAAACTCCTTACGTGCGACTGGGCTGCAGGTGGGTGGGAAGCGGCGTTCAGGAGTGGAACAGGCAGGTGAGGCTGGGATCACGGGGCAGGGTCACAAGGTAGTGACAGCATGGGGCTGAGGGGAGAGTCATAATCCACCACCCCAAGATTCTGGGATCTCCCCAGTCCCACCTGCCATCCCAGGCAAATGTTCCAACTTATATATATCCATCTTAAAGGTATCCACACAACTCTCTGCCAGCCCACAGCCCCTGACACCCAGCCAGGCATGCTGCCCACACAGGTCCCACCCCTGGCAGTGGGTGTGGGGCAGATGGGCTGGGGTGCCTGGGCAGTGAGGCTGGATCCAGGGCTGCCAGGGAAGAGTCCAGCTGCTGCACTGTCCCACCCCCACTGCATGGCGGGACTGGCTGCACATGTCACAGCCTAGGCCGCCCCTTGCGCCTGGGCCAGATGGGACCAAGGGACCTGCCACTGACCAGGCAAAATCCCTCTGTGGCTGTATTTTTACCACCCTTAGCCTATACTCACAAGGTAGCTACATCAACATAGTTACAAGCTCCCTAGCCTAGATAACTAATTAGTTAAATCAAAACCTAATGGACTTATGCCCAATTCAACTCTGGATTAAGCAGGAGCATCTATACTGATTTGACCCTTTATCTGCCACCTGAGGCAGTGCTATTTTACCATTTGAAACTTTTTTAAAGTAACTGCTGAATGCTGTTTTTTCTTGGACGCTACAAAGCTATTTATAATGCAAAAGAAGCCATCACTTTCCAGGATGCCATACAACAAGTTACTCTTCCAGTAAAGTAATACAAATGATGGCACTGAGCTAACTTGAGAATTATTCAACATCTGAACAAGGTACTTAAAAGTGACACTATTGAACAGAGGGGGAAATAGAGACAGAGGGAGATGACATGACTCAGGGAAGTGATGGCATTGGCCTTGTTTTTGATGATGTCCTTAGAACTTATACATCATTTATTATAGCTGCTGCCTTAGCGTCTTACCCAAAGCCCAAAGTCAGTGGAAAGATTCCCATTACCTTTAATGGGACATGAATCAACTCTTTAGCAAGGTGTTATTGCTCTGTGTCACCTACATGCTACAAAGTATCTTTCCAAGGCTTAGATGCCTATATGCATTTCAGGCACAGTATGCATCCCATCTCACAGGATGAGTGCCAAAAATAAAATAGTGTCTCAGCCTCTTGACCCTAACAGTGCATGCAAGATTGAAAGGTGAAATACAGAAAGAAATACCATATTTTCTTGCATACAACACATACCTTTCCACAAAAATCAGCTCCCCAAAACTGTGGTGCATGTGTTAAGTAGCAAAGCTGTTTTCTTCACTGGAAAAGAAGTATGCCTGGAGACCCTATAGCTGCTGTTTACATCTTCTACAGAAAGCTGAAGGTACAGTCCTATGTTTACCCTCTCACATCTGTAGTTACTGGCTAAGCACAGTAGCTTGTGCCTGAAGCAGCAAGGGAGCTGCTAGTAGCATCTGGATGAGACTTATGATATGGACACAATACTTTATTTACAGGAACTTATATAGATTACTACTTCCAGTAAAAACTAACCATCTTGCTCCTGCCTGTGCAAGGGTCTGGGGCCTAGCCTTGTGCGACACAGAGCAAGTCCTCCTGGAACCTGGGAACATAGGTGCCTAACTTTACTGTCCATGTGTGGCAACAGGCAGCAGGAACTTCCTACAAGGTCCTGCTGCCTCACCCAGACAGTTCCCTAGGATGCCACACATCCTGGACTCTGTGTTTCCAGGAGAACTTACTTTAGGTCACACAGTTGGCCATGACTCTGGAAAAATCGTCTTTTCTGCATTCTGTGTTCCAAAAAACAAAGTGTGTTTTATTTGGGGCCAGGTTATTTGCAAGAAAATACAGCAGTGCATAGGCTGATGCCCTTTGCTGCTTGCCTACAGCTCTCAGAAAGCGCGGTGGTTACTACTTTCTGCTTGCTTTGTTTTCTTGCACATCTTGACTTCGCTCTTTTCTTCTGGAGAACTTTGGTGAGACCTTTAGAGGACCTGATGGTGACACCACAGGAGCTTGAAAAAAGTGCCCA